GAAATTGATCTCTTAAACTCTTACTTGAGAAAGCCATTAGCAGTGATCAACTTTTTGCATTTAAATATATATATTGAAATGTGTTATTTATGTATGGATATGTGTAGATATATAGATATGTGAAGGTGTGTGTGTATATATATACACACACACACACACACATATATTTTTATTTTTTATTGATTTACTAATTTTTTTTTAAGTTGCAGAAAAAGACAGTTTATTAGAAGAAAAAATACATTTCAGAGAAGCAGAAGTGGGCCCGAGCAGTAGAGAATGGCTCAAGAGCCATTATTAAAAGAGAAAAAGCGGGCCGAGCAAAAGAAGCTCAAAAAGCCCACGTATATATTTTTAAATGTGATTTCTTCATGCTTCTTGAACATACACACACACTAATATTGCCTAACTTGTTAACATAGTCTGTAATTGCGACACTTTTACTTGTGCTGGCACTTGGTCAAATCCACTTTTAATTTGCTGTCTTGCAGCTGCAACATGTAAATGTTTGACTATGAGCAGTATTTTTAGTTACTACAAGGTTTTGTTTTAAGAGAAAGTCATGAGTCAAAGTAAGAAGTCCCTGAATTACAGAGTCAGTGTGTAATTTAACAACAGCTTTTGGAATTCATACGGATTGGTGTGAGGGGGTTGTTAGTTGAACATGGTTAGAGGGATTTTTGGTTAGGTTTGGGTTTTGGGTTTTTTTGTTTTGTTGCTGTTTTTTTGTAGCCTCAAAGCCTCTTTGGCTTATAAGGTGTGTAGCTGATTCATAAAGTAGCTAGCATCTTTTCCCCCAACTACCATAGCATAGGGAGACCATTTTTTTAAATAAACTTTTTATTTTAGGATAGTGTTAGAGTTACAGCAAAGATAGCACAGAGTTCTATACCTGTATCTAGCTTCCCTTCTTATTAACATCTTATGTTACTGTGGCATATTTCTCACAACTAGGGAATCACTATTAGTATATTACTATTAACTGAGCTCCACACTTTATTAAAATTTCAGTAGCTTTTCCCTAATACCCTTTTTCTGCTCCCAGGTCCAATCCGAGGTACTAATTACATTTAGTTGTCATGTCTCCTTAGGCTCCTGTGGGCTATGACAGTTTCTCAGACTTTTATTGTTTTTGATGATCTTGGCCGTTTTGAGAAGTACTGGTGAGATATTTTGGTAGCATGTACCTCAGTTTGGGTTTATCTGATTTTTTTTTTCATGCATAGATTGGAGTTGTGGGGTTTTGAAAGGAAAATCATGAAGGTCATTCTTATTACATTACATCAAGGCTACATACCATCAACATGATATCATTGATTACCTTAACCTGGTTGAGGCAGTATTTGCCAGATTTTTCCACTGTAAAGTTACCCTCCTCCCTTTATACTCTACTCTGAGGTAGCAGATTATTACTAAGTGCAGGCCACATTCAAGGAGATGCTGGGAGTTAAACTCCAACTCCTTGAGAGGAGAATAGGCATTTTTTATTCACTAAATACCTAGAATTATAATTCACTAAATTATAACCAATCCTCTCTGCATAAAAATATGCCTTGCCACCTTATCTCTATGGTTTCTTTCTTTGTTTACTGAAGTTTTATAGATGATGAGTTCCTAGACTAGAAAGGCTTTGCAGGGTGGTGAGGATTTTCGAGCTGCATTTTCTGACCTCTTAATCTGTGTCTAATATGACATATGATCCCCTGCACAAAAAAGAATACCTCACTGCTGAAATGAGGTACAGGGAAGCACCAGGTAACAGGAACCCCAGTAGACCACAACTCTTATAGGATTTCTGGGTAGGTACGGTTTTATTCCTTTAAATGTCCCAAATATTTGGACCATTTTATATTGTAGTTCTAAAGTACTATAAAATTTAACATTTTCTTAATGAGTGTGTTAAAATGATGTTGCCCCAATTTATAAGTTATATATACAGCTTGTTACTCTTTTACTAGAGGTCTAGATTATAGAATGAGTTGAATTTTAATGTGCTTTTATTGTATTTTGAATCATTGTCAGCTGTCATTTCTTGCTGCTGTCAGTTTGCCAATCTCCAGCAGTTTCCTTTCTTATTGCTGTTTATAACCTGAAACAACCCAACTTGTTGGGAATGTACAGAGTTAGTACAGTCTGAGATAAAATCGGAGAGCTGGAGATCTAAGCAAGTATAAGCTGTATGCTAATGCATGGCCATCCAGCACACTTATGCAGCTGCCCAGGAGTTTTCTTTTGCGTGCTTGCAGGTTTTCACATGTAGGAGAATGGTGAGATTGACTCAGCTGCATTACTATAATTTGAAACAGGCCAGTTGCAGGTAAACTGCTTTTCATAGTGGGCCCTAAACAGTGTGAATGACTAGGGACCCACAGTTCAAATTTATAAAAATACATGGATTTTGAGCCTTTGTAGCCGAGATTTAATGTTTACTGAGAATTTAAAATACATAGACATAAATAGTGACTCTTTTAAAAATAGCCCCCTGAGTACTCATATACACATCGTCACTGCTTTTGAAAATGACCAAAATGGAGACATCATCTTTGCATTAAAAATTTAAGTAAGGAAACAGTCAAAGATAGAATATATAATTTAAGATGCTTGAATATTTATTTAACCATATAATACTTTATTGGCAAAGTAGGAAAACCCTACACATAGTGTTAGAATTACAGATGACACCTGTTCTGACATGAACTTGGTGTTGGATTGCACGTGGTTAGTCAGCGCACATCTATAGAGTTAGTGCCAGAGGGAGATTGAAGTGCTAGAGTCCCTCAGGCCAGGACATAGATAAATCAAGTGCAAACTGATTAGAACAGTCATACTATTAAGGATAAAAGATTCCTTTTAATGATTGACTTAATTCCTGTAGTAATTGTTTCCTAAGAGTATGCTGTGTGCAGGGTACTAAGTCAGAGTCTAGGGCCAGGCTGGTGGTGAAGTCACCACCATGTAACCAGGACACAGGTTCCTCTAGAAAATCGTTAGTCATCATCATCCGTGGGTGGTTTTAGAGAGAGCAAAACAGGGCAATTAGAGGGAAGGTTTAAGAGAGGGCTAGTAAGAGTAGTGGTATGGTTTCATTCAGGACCAGATTGCATCCTTTACAGAGCGTTCTATAAATTTGGGAAGCTAGAAGAAAAAGCACCATGGACTTTTGAGAATTCAGTGAAATTAAATTCTTATAATCAGTAGTGATTTTCACTTTTTGGTACATCCATATTGGGCTCAAGTTGTTAGAGTAGACCAATCACAGCATTTAATGTAAACTCTTGGCAATAGAACACCCAGTTTTCATCTTTATTCATTGACTTTCCTGATTGTGATAAATATGTTTTAAAATGCAAATGTCAAATTTATGTCTGTTCATTTAACAGTAGTGATGTGCATGGCATCATTTCATTACATTTTTGTGAACTCTAAGAAATTACTCTTGAGAATAGCATCTTAATATTTCTATCTTGATGATAGCAATAATTGTGGATTTGTCTATTTTTTAGTTTTATGTTCCATGGTCTCTACTACAGATTATTATTATTATTATTATTATTATTATTATTATTATTATTTTAAAATTTTATTGGGGAATTGGGGGAGGGAACAGCGTTGGGGAATTGGGGAAGGGTAACAGACAAGTTGCTGTCCTTTTGTTCTTCAGTCTAGTTGTGGAGGACGTCGCTTCACTGGCCCATGTTGGTATTATCATTGCGCTCTTCTTGGGTGAGGCAGATTGGTTGCCGGCCTTTGGACGGCCGCTCACAGTGGCTCTTGGCAACTCACACCAGCTGCCAGCCACTCACACTGGCTGCCAGCCACCCACGATAGCTTATGGCAGCAAACTGCTGCAGGGGCTGCAGTCTATGCCGTCGCGGGCAACTCACAGCAGCCCAGCTCCAGGTCGAGCTGTTGTTCACCATCTTAGCTGTAGAGGGCGCAGCGTCACTGGCCCTCAACGTGGGATCCAAACTGTGCAGCCCTGCTGCTCAGAGCTGGAGCTCCCAAGAGAGCTCTTAATCAGCGGAGCCTTGGACAGACCCCAAGCCAACTGTAAACCAGCGTGCCACTCGGCCGGCCCTGCTACAGATTATTTTAAATTTAACTCTGTATGTATAAACAATACCATCATCAAATTTACGTTTTTTACTATTGTAACATTTTTTTCTGATTATAAAACTAATACATATTTTTAAAATAGCATTCAGCAAATGTTTTTAAATAGCACTTGGAAAATATAAAATAGTACAAACAAGACAAATAAACAAAAACCAATAGATACAGACAACAGTTTAGTGGTTACCCGACGGTGGGGATGGGAGAAGAAGAAGGTCAAGGGGATCAAATATATGGTGATGGAAAGAGAACTGACTGTGGGTGGTGCACACACAATGCAATGTGTAAATAATGTGTTACAGAATTGTACACTTGAAACCTAATAATTTTACTAACCAATGTCACCCCAATAAATTTAATAAAAACAAATACTATATAGAAAGGTAGGTAGATAGAAAGGTATAAAGAAAAAATATTACCAACAACCCTAACTATATAACCATTTGTTATTATTTTCATATATTAGCTTCTTTTTATTCATATTTTTACATTATTGAAATACCATTGAATTGTGCTCTGTTTTAAAAATTCACATTAGATTATGAGCATTTCTTCTTAGATGGCACAAATTCTTTGAAAACATATAAATATGTTGTTTTAATTGGCTAAAAAATGCTTTTTCATGTGAATGTGTTAAAATTTGTGAATTCTTTTCTGTATGGTTGGTCCTGGGTTTATTACTAATTCTCACTATTAAAAGCAATTCAGTGGACATTTTCATGGATCTTTTTTTTTCTGTAATTCAGATCATTTCTTTTAGTTAATAGTTGCAGAAATTGACTTACAGGGTCAAACAGTAGGAACATTTTTCTTCCTTTATTGACCTTCACTGAAAATAAATGTCATTGTATAATGAGCACTAAATCATTTTTTTTTCTTTTTTTTCTCAGCTCACTACCCTGGGAAATCTTATACCTTCAAGCACTGTGTTTTTCTGCTGTGACATGCAGGAAAGGTTCAGACCAGCCATCAAGTATTTTGGGGATATTATTAGTGTGGGACAAAGACTGGTATGCTTGTTTATTTTTTCCAATTCACTGAAGCATAATATACATTCATAGATACACACATATGTATATTGCTGATTATCTTTGTGGTTTTCTGTTTTGTTCTGCAGTTACAAGGGGCCCGGATTTTAGGAATTCCTGTTATTGTAACAGAACAGTACCCTAAAGGTCTTGGAAGCACTGTTCAAGAAATTGATTTAACAGGTGTAAAACTGGTACTTCCAAAGACCAAGTTTTCAATGGTATTACCAGAAGTAGAAGCGGCATTAGCAGAGATACCTGGAGTCAGGAGTGTTGTGTTATTTGGAGTGGAAGTAAGTACCTTTTGTTATGTTTTGGACGTAATATCATGTGTAGAAAACTTGATGCCAGAATGCAGGTTTTGAATATAGAGTACCATGTAGGTGGTAATCATGATGAAAAATAGCCACCGTTTACTATTGATTATTAGCATGGCGCCGATCCAAACACACACACACACATACATACATACATATATATATATATATATATATATATATATATATATATATGTATTAATTTATGAAACTCTCACAGCAACCCTCTGAGTTAAGTTTTCTTGGTTTTCCCATATCATAGATGAGAAATCTAAAACACACATGCCACATAACTTACCCAAGGTCATACAGCTAGTTGGGGGATGGAGCTAAATTGGAATCTTAGGTTAGTGAATTCTTTGGCCTTTGCTTTTAACCACCACTTTGGAACACAATTTCACCAAAGGCATTATTTTTTATTTATGTGTTGTAGGATTTCACCTTGGTCATATCTTTGCTCAAGAAAAACCTTAGAAGTCATGTCATTCATTGTCCTTCATATTTGAATTATGTACATACCTTTTTAAAGGGAAAAGAATGCTCATGGATTCCTAATACTGATTAAAATGATTTGTTTGATTTGTTTTTTTGGACATGTACAAACAAAATATAAGTATTCATAGCTTGTAAACAACTATTGAACTAAATTTTTAAAATTATGAAAAAACTATAAAAACAGTGATATCCAAATAATAATAATATTAATTTATTTATGATGTTTCGGTAGTAGGTTCATATAGTAGGTTTCAATAGTAGAAGGATGTAGTCTCAGGTTTAGATGTATGTTAAATATCTATATTTCGACTTCAGTGATAATATAGAGGAAGCCTGTTTGTATAAATATGTCACGTCAGATGCTGTTGCTGACATCTGCAATTTTTTTGATTAATTATCATTATTAAACCTCGTGCCTAATGAAAGTCATCTTTGAGCTGTCTTCCAGTGCTAATTTTAATAAGGTGTCAGTTGATAATCCACCAAAGCTCTTTTGTCCTATAAAGATATGTGGCATTATTGAAATCGGCTTTCATTGGTTGTTTCATTGGTAATAACTCAGTTATGTTGGAGCATGTTTTCACTCTTCGTTTTCTGCTCATATTATGTGTTACAAGTTAGTACTTACAAAGATGGAAACTGTATAATACGTTTGCTGGTGATGTAAACTGGATATTTTCACCTGTGTCACAGCTATTTTTAACTTGGCCTACCTTTCCTCCTGGGTGCCTGGGAACAACTCCCTTTTCCCACTACTTTCTCCATCTGCAGTACTGCAGACTCCTCATTGGTGTTAGGCGCTTGGTGTGAATTCAGATATAACCTCCGCTGTGAGTGGCATTAAAACTGAGTGGTAGTGGTCAGCTGTATAAAGGTCATCCAGGTCACATAGAGGAAAATCTTATAAAAAATTCTCACAGAGCTCTAAGAATATGATCAAGGTTCCTAGTATGAGGGACATTGATATAATTCGATTCCCAACTTTACAAGGAGGAAACCAAAGCCAGCGATGCCACTTATGCCCATGACCACCTAGCACGGTAGAGGCGAAACCAGCGCTGGCACAAGGTCATTAGACCTGTAGTGCTCTCTCCGTTTCATGTGCCTGCACGTTTGTAAAGTACGTTCAGTTAACCGCTTTACTATAATACATATGATTTTTTGCTTTTCCACTAGACTCACGTGTGCATCCAGCAAACAGCTCTGGAATTGGTTGGCCGAGGTATTGAGGTTCATATTGTTGCTGACGCCACCTCATCAAGAAGCATGATGGACAGGATGTTTGCTCTTGAGGTAACTGTCCTGCTTTAAAATAAATCATTTATCACTTTTCTAAATAAATTTGAAGAGCATTGAATATTTAACAGCTATGGAAGATTGACCTCCTAAATTTGAGCTTGGTCAAACAGTACCAGGTTCATTGATTTCCAGAGTCTGGACTGTACATTGACCCACCTTTGAGGTCTCGCCTCCATATCCTATCGTATATCTTCTGTTTCCTGAGGTCTAGATTACTCCTGACGCCAAAAGCTCCTTATATCTTTTGTCATAAGTTTGCTATATTGTTTTATGCATGAACTGAGAGGTTATTCCAGTAAGCTTAATCTGTAGCATTTAGAGATTTGCAAATTAAAAACAGGTCACCTAGGTTTAACTCAGCCAAGATCTAGCCAAACCCAGGGCACAGTGGGCCTAAGCCCGGTTCAGCCTCATATCTTCCTCAGACTTGAGTTTCTGGGGATAGGAGGTGTGTCACTAAGTGTGGACGGCACTCACGTGCAGTGTTTCATGGCTCTGCACTAGGGTGTCAAGATGCACCAGAGTCAGGAAGGCGGTGATCTCTGGGCAGTGTTGCATAGCAGTGGTCTTACTTGAGTATTTCCTATTTATTCCAAGACACTGAAAAGCAAACTACCACATAACGCTTTGAATCATTCACTCCATATTGTGGTGTCTCTCTCTCTCTCTCTCTCTCTCTC